CACTCCGGGTTGGGAATGGTACAGTTTTAGTAATCTCTCGGGTTGGCCATGCATCAATTCCATCTGAGTCTATACAGTTGTTTCTGTTTAATGTATTACATGTCCCTAATTTAACTATCCCGTTATTATCTGTCCAGAAATTTGTCACTGAAAACAGTGTATTTTTTGAATTTCACGATAATTGTTTCATTGTGAAAGATTCCAACACCAAGGCGGTATGGCATCGCAGGCTTGGTCATCCTCACAGTGTCGTTCAGAATAAAATTCTTAAACATCGTTCTGTCCAGCAAAATAATGTTACTTTAGGGTCATGTACTGCTTGTCATCTTGGCAAGTCTTGTCGTTTTCCATTAAATAGAGTAGAGCAATCTAGCGAAAATGTACTAGATTTAGTCTACACGGATATTTGGGGGCCTGCCCCAGTTATCTCGTCTAGTGGTTTTCGGTATTTCTTGCTGTTTGTTGACGATTATTCTCGCTTCTGCTGGTTTTATCCATTAAGGGTAAAATCAGACATCTATAAAATGTTTAATGTGTTTCGTGTGTTGGTAGAGCGACAATTTTCACGCTCTATCAAATCTATACAGTCTGACCTAGGGGGTGAGTATCGCAAATTGCAGACCACCTTTGAAACTCTCGGTATTAACCACTGACAATCCTGAGCCTATACGCACGAACAAAATGGGAGAGTTGAGCGCCACAATAGACAGATTGTCGAAACGGGCTTAGCTCTTCTTGCTCAAGGGTCTGTCCCACAACAATATTGGGATTTTGCTTTTGAGACTGCCACGTGATTAATCAATTATCTACCATCTTCCGCTATAAAATTCGAAAGTCCCTACTACCGACTATACAAAAAGCTACCTCCATATCAATTCTTAAAAGTCTTCGGGTGTCAATGTTACCCGTATCTAAGACCGTACAATCGGAATAAAATCGAGTTCCGTTCCACTCCATGTGTCTTCTTAGGTTACCCACCATCCTTTAGGGGATATAGGTGCATGGATCTAATCAGTGGGAAAACTTATACCTGTCGCCATGTCCGTTTTGACGAATCTGTCTTTCCCTTTGCAACAGGTTCTCTACCACAAGCTGATGAGCCACAGCCCGTGCATTGGGCTTCCGGACCCATAGTACCAGTTCAGGGTACCGGGTATAATCCAGTTCCTGTCACTCTCAGTCCTGACCCTGAGCCATTAGCTCATGAGTCACCTCCTTTAGCCATTGAGCCATCTGCCCCTGCGGCTCGTGGACGAGGTCGGCCTCGGGGTCGGGGCCAGGGTCGGGAGCAACCTCAGGACCGAGGGCATGTCATGCGGCTACGACACATGACCCACGGTAATAATGAGGAATTTCAGGCCCTCACTGCCACAACAACACCAGATCCAACGTGCTACTCTCAAGCTGTCGGGCACTCTCACTGGAGGGATGCTATGGACCAGGAGTTCAATGTGTTACTTCACAATAACACCTGGCGTCTAGTCCCACCTGATCCTAACATGAATATTATTGGATGCAAGTGGGTTTTTCGCACCAAGCGTACCGCAGATGGGTCAGTGGAACGCCATAAGGCACGCCTGGTAGCAAAGGGGTTTAACCAAGTGCAGGTGAAGACTTCTTTGACACTTTCAGTCCGGTTGTCAAGCCAACCACAGTACGTATGCTATTTTCCTTGGCTATCACAAACAAATGGGTCCTCCGTCAACTGGATGCACATAATGCCTTCCTAAATGGCCATCTAGCTGAAACTGTGTATATGAAGCAACCACCGGGTTACGAAGATCCTACTCATCCGGAGCATGTCTGCCACTTACAGCGGTCTCTCTACGGTTTGAAGCAAGCTCCTCGTGCATGGTTCAAGCGACTTCACGACTTCTTGTTATCTGCAGGGTTTTCTTCGTCAAAAACAGATGTCTCCCTCTTCTACCTCACTTCAGAGGGATCGCAAGTTTTCCTCCTTGTCTGTGTGGATGACATCATTATGATGAGCAACAACACCTCCCTACTTGATACTCTACTTGGTCGTCTTGCAACTGTGTTTAAAATACGGGATCTTGGCAAACCTGGCTTCTTCTTAGGGTTTGAAACTGTTGACACTACTAGTGGAATGATTCTGTCCCAGCGGCGCTACATGACCGATTTGCTGACTAGGGCTGGGATGGTAGACTGTAAACCCTTGACTACGCTTGCTTCAGTTACTCAATCGGCAACTCCGTCTAATGAACTATTTGATAATCCGACACAGTATCGACGCATTGTTGAGGCTCTTCAGTATCTCACTATCACACGGCCTGATTTGTCCTTTTCTGTTAATCGTCTGTGTCAGTTTATGCACGTCCCGACCACTGATCATTGAGCAATGGTTAAACGGGTTCTCCGGTATATCAAGGGGACTCTCCACTATGGCCTGCACCTGAGTGCATCACCCACTACATCTATTCATGCCTATTCCGACTCCGACTAGGCTGGTTGTCCTGTTGACAGGAAAAACACGAGTGGATATGCTGTTTTTCTCGGGTCTAATCTCATCTCCTGGCTGTCCCAGAAACAGCGTACTGTGGCCCGCTCTTCGACAAAAGCCGAGTATAAAGCCCTAGCCGATATTGCTGCAGAGGTTACTTGGGTTGTTTCATTGCTACGTGAGTTGGGACTGCACACTGGTCAACCGTCTACTTTGTGGTGTGATGACTTAGGAGCTACGTATTTGTGTGCTAATCCAGTGTTCCACGCCAGAACGAAGCATGTGGAGATTGACTATCACTTCGTACGAGACAAAGTTGCAACGGGGGACTTCAAGGTAAACTTCATATCAACCAAGGACCAGCTCGCTGATATCTTCACCAAGTCGCTTCCAGGTCCAAGGTTCGCTGCACTACGAGACAAGCTTCATGTTGTTTCTCACCAACCTTCCGCTTGAGGGGGTGTGTGAGTGTTATTAATAATTATTGTTATTATTATTATATAACCTATGGTAGTTAGTGTGTGGTGTTAGAATAAGTTTGATGTTATATCCTAGTAGATAGGAGAGTTTAGAGGTGTCTTTGATATACTCTCGTGTAATCCTATCTACCTGTAACTGTAATACAATTTGAATTCTCATCGTTCCGCTTCCCCAGTATTTTAGTTATTTGGTGCACCTACAATTTTACTGGGAATTTTCGCCTTCTAGGCGAATATCTTCTGGATAAAATTTTCTATATTTCTGGAGTGACGAAACTTTTCACTAGATCTAGATTTGCAAATTCTTAAACCAATAAATTTCATATGCTTCAATGTTTGAGATATTTAGTCCTAGTTGGGGATTTCAATTATTTCTATTGACTTAGTCACTCCTTGAGATTTCTAGCAGATTATCTGTTTAATGTTTGAACTTCTGATTTAATAAGACTAGTACATGGGTTTGAAGATTTTTATCTCATAAAATTTTCTCGGCATTCAATTAATTAAAAACTTCAAATCTCCCCCTAATGCCGAGAAAAAAGATCTTATGTTGCAACCAACATTAAGTTGTTGATTTCTCATGAAGGGTTGCATACAAAAAAATTTTTGAACGCAGATAGGGAAATGCATCATGGTGTTGAACCACGTACTAGGCGTTTTTGTGATATGTAGTGGATAAGCATGACGGTTTCTCAATTCTGGAGGTCCCCAAAATAGATATACTTCCTCCATAATTGCTTAACAAAGTTCTTATAAAAAAATATGTCTTGTAAATAATTATGCCATGGCAATTAGGGAAATAATTAGTGCACTCAACATAGAATTGTATGGAGTGAACTTATAAAAAAAATATTATTGTTATCTTGCCTTCTCACAAATTTCAAAATTGACATGAATAGTCAATATATATATATATATATATATATATATATATATATGCCGTAAATAATATGAGCAATAATAAGACCTACGTGTATGGAGCTAACATCTCGTAGTATGTTGATGAAATTAGACACCCAACATTCAAAAATAGCTTATCGAATTTTCACTTCTGGTGAAAGAGTAGCCTCACAAAAAACTATCATAATATAATCCCGCTCCATATCATTGTTAAAATTTTGCTGGAGCAAAGCCAAGAGCATTGTACAATGCCTTGGCTGTAATATTAAAAGCAATTTAGACTATGGGTACGCGTACGAATCTTTTGTGGATAAATGACATGGATAGCATGGAAAACCATTATCATTTAGCTATAACATACAGATCGTGTAGCAATAATTTGTGTGGCAATTGGTTTATATATGTACCAACGGGAAGATATATATGGATAATCAAATACATATTGATTTTGACGGCAATTTTTATATGGACAACGAAACATAATTTTTGGGTGAGTTACACCAATTTTCATGAATGCACAACCAATTAACCATACTAGGACCATTAAGCAAGTTGGTTGATTCCGCCAAATTAAAAAAGGCTATATGACTATTAACACCAATATTATGGCCATCATAAAATGGTAAATACACATTTACAGATACTCAATGAATTAAGACCATGATTAGACTTTGAACAAAAAAAAAATGTGAAATATTATTTTGAGCTCAAAGAGTAGTCATACCTGTCGTAGAAGCCAAAGATGAATCATGGTTGGCCCGAACCATTGTGTTCGAATTAGCCAAGAACAAATTTCTTGGTTCCAGCGGTTGATTTGTAGCAAAAATTATTGCCATTACTGGCCGGACCAGCTACACCACCGCCAAGCACTCTCTCGTCACCAACACGAGAGTCAAACAAAAGAAACTTCAGGTTTCCAAAACACACCATAAATGAGGCTCAAATTCACCTTTTATCTATCAGGAGAATCAGATGCCAAGCCTGCCGTGGCGGAGGCTTTTTTGTTATAATTAGTCTTCAACTAAGTTTCCAGGCGGCAACAATAATTTCCCACCGATTGCACTAGTTCCCAGGTATTCGACAACGAAAAATTCTAGTGGCAGCGGATCATGGCTACAATACTTCTCACCAGAATTTATTATGTCCTTCTTCTCTCGGACATACTCTACTCCAGTATACATTTATGCCAAACAAGAAATAATATATATCAATGCTGGGAAATGTGATACAATGTCCAGAGATTTAAATGAATAAACAACCACGCAATAAAGATGCAGTCTTGCAGAATTGCAGATAAGATTGGGATATATATATATATAATATAACCTGATCCATGCAAAACATAATTATGCTTGGGATATGTCTTGTGTCAGGCAAGAGAAAAATCAATTGGATTTAGAATTGTCCTCTCAATTCAAAATGATTTCTAAGTCATAGATGGTATTAATTATTAGATGTAAGACTAAACTCATCCACATCATTATGCAAGAACAGTTGTTAAACGATTAAAAATCTTGAAAGTTCCATATACTAAAAAAAATAATTGCCGCACTAGATAGTCAATGGTATAAATATACACACACATATGTATACTTTTATAGGAATTGAAGGAGATCAGAATACTTAGCTTTTATATTTTGATTATCTAGCCTTTATATTCTCCAATCTTCCATCATCTAGCAATTGACAACAATGGAGAGGAAGAAGCGGTGGACGTGATGGTAGAGGCGACTCCATGAATGTGCATCTTCGTCCGTTGCTTCTAACACACCGAGAAATTGGAGGCTGCGCATCTTCTTCGTGATTATCCGCCCGTGTCGTCCTGCAGTCGCAACGAAGAGGCGACGCCATACCCCCTTTATCGGACGTCTGGTTCATCGTCAAAACCTGCCGTGGACGAAGCTCCCGATTCAGTTTGGCCAAACACCGGCCGCCGACGCCAGAAAAGATGGCCTGAGAAGTTTGCGAAGGTTTTGTCGTCTTTTTCTCGCAAATCGCTGGAGTACTTGCGGTTGGCGTGCGTGGGTTTAGGGTTTTTGTTCATGGGGATTGAGCGGCTGATAACGTGTTGCAACCTATTAGCTCAAACATGATTGATCAAAGGAACAAGGCCAAGAGGATATTCTTATTCATACATCTCTATATCTTCCATACAACCATAACACATCTATATAGATAATATACAAATGTAACGGAAGACATAATGCAGCCATTAATCACTTAACCGTTACATAATCAATACTAATAATGGCCACACTAAATACATATTTATAACAAAACTTAAATTTTTTGTGTTTAATAATACGTTTAACGTAATCTCTAAGTATATAAAATTTATATACTAATACTAAACTTAATATTATGAAAAATTAAATTAAAAATAACTTGAATCAAGCATTGTTAATCGAATCAAATAAATAAAATGGGATAGAGGGGAGTAACAAAGTGGAGTATGTGAAAAAGAAAATGGTAAGAGGAAGAAAGCTCCCAAATCTATCAAGAAGATGAGGTTGCATCAATGATGGAGTGATTGCTGGTTGGAGGAAAAAAAAAAAGAGAGAGAAAAGATGAAAGGGAAAGAGAACAAAATTTATGGTAAATTTATAATTTCTATAAATCTGAGGGCAATTATAAAAAAAAAATCAAAATTTAGATTAAAAAAATTTGAGCTTTAGCATTTAAGATAATAGCTTGATATGGGTGCCATTTTTCATGACAACTGACAACTCCCAAATAAAAGTATAGGGAAGATTTGGATCCAAACGCACCCAAATAAATTTTTTTGAAAGCATCGCACCCAAGTCGATAAATCTCATTCTCTCTAAACCAATGCACAACAAGATTGCTTCTGGGGAAGCCATCCTTTTCTCTTTTTACTCTTCATTGAACAGATTTGCTTCTCTTACTTTCCGCTTGTTGGAAAAATAGCTTAAAATGACATGTTAAGTGGCTATTTTGTGGTACAATTATCAGTGGGGTCCACTTTCAGTTTGGGTTGGGTCAAAGTGGATTCAGATTCTTCGTAGTGAGACGAAGAGATTGATATATTGTACGCTCAAAACGGATAATGGGTGAATGAGATATTGATTCTCAAAGTAGACCCATTTGAGTTGGGAAATGAAGGGAAAAAGTGAGCTTTGTCCCACATTGGTTTGGAAAGTGGATTTGCCCCCCTTTTATACAAGAGCTCTTTTGAAGCTTATAGAATTGTATAGTATAGAGGCTCTCTCGTGCGGGGGGGGGGGGTGCAAATTAAATTCTAACTAGAAACGAGATCGGAAGGCTTGATTCAAGCCCGAGCTCCTGTGCGCCGGCACCTGCGGGACACACGCCACCAAACTTACTGGAATCATTTTCCAACACACGCCACCACAGAGGTTTCAACCTAGCTCCCTAGATGGTACGTATCGGCCACACAGCTTGATTCGAGCTCGTGTGCGCCGGCACATGCGGGCTAAGTTATGCCAAACTTACTGGAATCATTTTCCAACACACGCCACCCCAGAGGTTTCAAGCCCGAGCTCGTGTGCGCCGACACCTGCAGGTTAAGTTATGCCAAACTTACTGGAATCATTTTCCAACACACGCCACCACAGAAGTTTCGGCCTAGCTGCCTAGATGGTTTCGGCCTTGTGGCCGAAACTTGTAGCTTCGACCGTGGACAGGCCAAAACTAATGTCTCGGCCTTGCGGGCCGAGACTGTATAAGGCCCATGGCTGAAACTTCCAGGTTTCGGCCAACACGAACCTGTCCGTTTTGTGACCGTTGGGTGTTCAATTCTGCTGTTACGGAATTAATTCCAATTTTTTATCTTTGAATTGAAACCCATGTTAATGGTTGCAGTTACAGGCAGGTGAAGGGGTGCCCTTAAGTGCCTAATTAAAAGCTATTTAAATCTTCCACCCCTATATAAGAAGGAGTTGGGCAGTAGAGATTTACACACTTCAAGAAACTATCTTTTGCCTCGAAAAACTCTCTACTCCTACTCTTTCTTTAGCTTGTTGTGTTCATAACTTGCTTTGTTCGCTGGATTCCTTGTTTGGATGCTCAAACATTGAATCACATGCAAGTTTTATCCTGGGAAGCCTAGGCCACAAAGCTCCAAGCACTTTTGGGAGGTGGCAAATAAGGTTTTAAGGAAAGAGTGATCGCTTGACTCTTGCAAAAACCCAACACCAAACACTAGCCAAATTCTCTATCTTTCCTTCCCTTGTTTTTCCAGAAAATAATAATCTTATTTTAATTTGATTATTATTTTTTTTCTACCAACGGATCCAACAGTCTTAAAACCTTATATCTTGCTTATCCCGTTGGTGCTCTTCTCTGAATTTCCTTGAAGAAAATGGAGCATCCCGTACTGCCAATCGATGGGAAGGATAATGTTGTTGCGGACAACAAGGAGGAAACGGCAACAATGTTGCCCAAGCTACACCAGTGAACGTTGGTTCACAAGATGGTGGGAGCACTGAGGGATATATTCCCATGTCTCAGGTACCTTCGGTACCGAGCGGTTCGGCTGAGAAGCTGGAGAAGTTCACCAGTGTTGGGTCGAACTTCAAGAGGTGGCAACAAAGATGTTGTTCTACCTAGCAACTCTCGGCTTGGCAAGGTTCTTGTCTGAGAAGGTTCCCGAGTTGAAGAAACAAGACGCACAATCTGTGATGGCAGTTGGCTATTGGAAGGATTCGGACTTCGTTTGTCGAAACTACATCTTGAACGGATTGTGTGATACGATGTATGATGTATATCGAAAGATAAGTACATCAAAAGCGTTGTGGGAAGCTTTGGATCATAAATACCGAAGTGAGGATGCCGGCTCAAAGAAATTTGTGGTTGGCCGATTCCTCGACTTCAAAATGGTTGATTCAAAGACCGTGCTAAGTCAGGTAGAAGATTTGCAATTAATCTTTGATGAGATCCGTGACGAGGGCATGGTGCTAAGTGAAGCCTTCCAAGTGGGATCTGTGATCCACTTGTTGCCTCCAGGTTGGAAGGACTTCAAGAACTACCTCAAGCATAAGTGAAAGGAAATGAACCTGGAAGACCTGATCCAGCGACTCAGGATTGAGGAGGGGAACATGACGAATGATAGAAAAGTTCCTATCGTTGTTGGCGCTAAGGCCAATGTTGTGGAGCACGGTAAGAGCTCCAAGAGGAACAAGAAGGACAAACGAAAACTAGGTCAGAAAGGTGGCGTTACCAAGAACAAGTTTCCTGGTGAATGCTACAATTGTGGCAAGCCTGGCTATAGAGCATCTGAATGCAAAGCTCCAAGAAAGAAAAACAAGAGTTCTGAAGCCAATGTTGTTGGAGATAGCAGTCAGAAGGAGGTCGAGATCAGCCTTTTGGCTATGGTGACCGAGGTGAACCTCGTGGGCTCAAACCCTCGTGAGTGGTTCATCGATACCGGTGCAACCATGCACTTGTGTTGCAACCGAGAGATGTTCAACACCTTTGAGACCGTTGAGGGTGAAAAGGTGTGGATGGGAAACTCTTCTCAGTCTGCTGTGGAAGGCATGGGCAAAGTAGTTCTGAAGATGAATTCCGGGAAGGAACTGACGTTGAACAACGTGCTGTATGTTCCTGAGCTGAGGAAGAATCTTGTGTCTGGCTAGATGTTGAACAAGCATGGCTTTCGCATGGTGTTCGAGTCAGACAAAGTAGTTTTGTCCAAGTTAGGGATGTTTGTTGGTAAAGGATATGTAACTAATGGGCTCTTTAAGCTCAATGTAATTCCTGTTATCAATAAAATCAAAGTTAATTCTGTTTACTTGCTTGAGTCTTCCAATTTGTGGCATGGTAGACTAGGTCATATTAATTTTAATTCTATGCGTAAATTAATTAGCATGGACCATATTCCTAACTTTCAAATTGACACAAAAAATAAGTGTGAAATTTGTGTTGAGGCAAAACTAACGAAAGTAACTTTCAAATCGGTTGAAAGGGAAACTGAACCACTTGAATTAATCCATAGTGATTTGTGCGATTTTAGATCGATACAAATGAGAGGCGGTAATAAGTATTTTATCACATTTATCGATGATAGCACACGATACTGCTATGTGTATTTGCTTAAAAGCAAAGATGAAGCCGTTGATAAATTCATTCTTTATAAGAATGAAGTGGAAAACCAACTTAATCGGAGAATTAAGAAGGTTTGAAGCGATAGAGGTGGTGAGTATGAAGCACCTATTGGTGACTTCTGTGCAAGTGTAGGTATCATACACAAGCGTAAGTCACCTTACTCACCTCAATCGAACGGTGTTGCCGAACGAAAGAATCGTACATTGAAAGATATGATGAATGCGATGCTTATAAGTTCGGGCCTATCTCAAGATGCGTGGGGTGAGGCGATTTTGACAAGTAATTACCTTTTGAATAAGGTACCCCGCAAGAAGCTCGATAAGACGCCTTATGAGCTGTGGAACGGTAAGAAACCTTCCTACCAGTACCTGAACGTGTGGGGGTGTCTTGCCAAAGTATTGGTGCCAACACCTAAGAAAGTAAAGATAGGTCCTAAGACGGTGAACTGTATCTTTATTGGCTATGCACATAATAGTAGTGCTTATCAGTTCTTAGTACACGAGTCCCATAATCCAGACGTACTTGAGAACACGATAATAGAATCAAGGAATGCATATTTCTTTGAAAATATATTTCCTTGTAGGTCCAACGATGGACCAAGTACGTCAAAACGAACGTTTGACGAAACTATGGATAATGATAGTGGGGAATCTGAGAAAGAATCCGAGCTCGAGCCGAGACGCAGTAAGCGGGCAAGAGTTGAAAAATCATTCGGTCTTGATTTTCTAACTTACTTGTTAGAGTACGATTTGGGTACTTTAACTTGTTTATTAGAAAATGAACCCGATTTTCTATCTTGTTTGATAGAGAACGAGCCTCGAACGTATGTAGAAACCGTGACTTCTACGGAAGGACCAATGTGGAAAGAGGCTATAAAAAGTGAAGTGGATTCTATCCTACAGAATCACACTTAGGAACTTGTTAATCTTCCTCCGGGTAGTAAAACCTTAGGATCCAAGTGGGTCTTTAAAAGGAAGATGAAACCTGATGGTTTCATCGAGAAATATAAGGCTAGGCTTGTAATCAAGGGTTACAGGCAACGCGAGGGTCTCGATTACTTCGACACGTATTTTGCCGTGACGAGAATAAACTCCATTAGAATGATACTTGCCATAGCCGCGTTGCGGAACTTGGAAGTTCATCAAATGGAAGTAAAAATCGCTTTCCTAAATGGTGAATTAGATGAGGAAATCTATATGGAACAACCCGAAGGGTTTGTGGTTCCGGGCCAAGAAAGGAAAGTGTGTAAGTTGGTTAAATCGCTCTATGGTTTAAAACAAGCGCCTAAGCAGTGGCACGAGAAGTTTGACCATGTGATGTTAACTAACGAGTTTAAAATAAACGAAAGTGACAAATGTGTCTACGTTAAGGAAACGATAGACGGCTACGTCATTCTTTTTTATATGTCGATGATATTCTCATCGTTGGTAGTAATGATCGGATGATCAAGTCTACCAAGAACATGTTAAATGTGAGATTTGACATGAAGGATATGGGTTTGGCTGATTTAATCCTCGGGATTATAATCATTAGACGACCTGATGGTCTCGTGTTGAGCCAATCACATTATATTGACAAAATCCTTGAGAAATTTAACAAGGATGATGGTCAAATGGCTAGAACACCGTTTGATACAAACATTCATCTGACCAAGAACCACGGAGAAGGTATTTCACAAGTGGAATATGCTCGGGTTATTGGTAGTTTGATGTATCTTATGAGCTGTACTAGGCCGGATATTGCCTTTGCGGTTAGTAAACTCAGTAGATATACGAGTAACCCCGGTGCGATGCACTGGAAGGCAATAGTAAAGGTTATGAGATACTTGAGGTATACTCGTGATCTTGGACTGCACTACGGGAGATATCCCGCGGTACTTGAAGGGAATAGCGACGCGAACTGGATATCTGACATTAAGAACTCTAAATCCACGAGTGGCTACGTGTTTACACTAGTCGGTGCAGCCGTTGCATGGAAATCCTCTAAGCAAACTGTGGTAGCTAGATCCACGATGGAATCTGAGCTAATAGCCTTGGACAAAGGGTGAAGAGGCTGAATGGTTATGCCATTTTATAGAGGATATTCCTAATTGGGAAAGACCGGTACCTCCAATATGTGTGCACTACGATAGGCAAGCCACAATTGGGAGAGTACAGAGTCATATGTATAATGGTAAGTCTAGACATGTGCTCGTAGACATAATACCATTAGACAACTACTCACAACTGGTGTTGTCTCGATTGACTACGTAAAGTCAAAAGACAATATAGCAGATCCACTGACCAAAGGGTTAGGCAAAGAAGTTGTGGAGAAGTTGACACGAGGAATGGGTCTAATGCCCTTGGACTAAAAAGTTCTATAGTGGATACCCAACCTAGCTGGCACCTAGGTTCAATGGGGCAACTAAATTATGGAACGGAGCGCGTCACTGTGGGGGTCTCGGACTCCCTGCCACTCCTCGTTAAAACAGTGACTCCCGCACGAGGCTAGCATGTTGATGCTTTAATGATTCTTGAGTATGCGGGATACTCGAGAAAGAATCACCTATGTTAGAGAGAAGTGAGGGTCGCTTCATAGGAGAATTGTTGGACACAATTCTTTAAAAACTCTCGCAGAACCAGGACCGGTGACCCACGACCAAAACGGGCACACTCGTGAGAACAAGAGCATGGTTGGGAGATTCCTGTGTGAGATATGTCATCGTCTACACAAACGGCAGTCGGTTCAAAGACATCACGTTCTACCGTACAGTCAGTGGAGTAAACATGTCTTCACAGGGATCGACCATTTGAACACAATTGTTTCCGATTTCAAAATACCCCGAAAATCAATTTTTCATTCATGAAGCCCTACTGCCGCCCCACGTTTGTTTCCATAATCCCTAATTATAATAATAATAATAATAATAATAATAATAATAATAATAATAATAATAATAATAATAACAACAACAACTAGGGCTCAAGATGAGTGGAGGTCTAACAAAAATATAGTGAATACAAAAATGCTTAGTCTAAACATGAGCTATTCTTCACATAGGAGGGAAGCCCAACCCAACAAACTCCCCTCCCCACTATGTGAAAGATATCGTCGTCCCGACGATAGAGAAACAAACTGTTGGGTAATATGGTTGAAAATCCCAAAAATAACAATAATCCTACGGAAAGATTAATATTATATGGGAAAACAGAAAATTGGGAAGGAAAAGGTTGAGTGTTTGGGTATAGGTTTAGCACGAGTTCGAACACAAAGTTCTTTTCTTTAAAACCTTATTTGCTACCTCCCACAAGTGCTAGGAGCGTTGTAGCCTAGGTTTCCCAGGATAAAACGTGCTACGATTCCTTGTTTAAGCACCTAAACAAGGAACCCAGCAAACAAAGCAAAGCTTAGAACACTGGTTGGCTAAAAGAAGAGAGTAGAAGCAGAGTTTTGAGATGAAAAGCTACTGGATTCCTTTGTTTCTCACTATGTGTAAAATGCTACTGCTCTACCTCTCTTTATATAGGAATGTTGGAAGGGATAGCATTCAACATGGCCATTAAATTGGTGTTAAAACCAATTGTGTAACACCTGTAACGGTCACCACTAAGTAGGATTAAACTCAGAATTTAAAAATTGGAATTAAAACAGTATTAATTCCGTAACAGATGAGTTTAATCTTCTGCACTTTCGGGTTTCAGACCGTTGGGGTGCACGAGAGTACACACTCTCGTGCTGTGGTACACCACGAGAGTACACCTCTCGTGCTATGGTGCAATACGAGAGTACACCTCTCGTGCTATGGTGCAATACGAGAGTACACCTCTCGTGTTCACCGTTGCACGAGAGTTTTGTTCTCAGTGCACCACAACCTCTCGTGCTCTCTGTAGCACGAGAGTGGTGTTCTCGGTTTCGGCTGAGCCAAGTGACTATAACAGATGGAAAATGATACCGAAGTTAGGCATAACTTAGCCCGCAAGGCCAGTCCATTTCCGGACGACATTCGTGCCCGCAGGTGCCGGCGCACGCGAGCTCGGGCTTGATTTCAAGCCTTTTCAATGTCCTCTAGTTGGATTTTGATTTGCACCCCCCCCCCCTCCCCCCGCGCGCGAGAGAGCCTCTATGCTATACAATTCTACAAGCTTGAAAAGAGCTCATGTATATAAGGGGGGCAAATCTTGTTTCCAAACCAATGTGGGACAAAGTCCTACATTTTCCCTTCATTTCCCAACTTAAATGGGTCTACTTTGAGAATCAATCTCATTCACCCATTATCCGTTTTGAGCGTACAATATATCAAGCTCTTCGTCTCACTACGAAGAACCCGAATCCACTTTGACCCGACCCAAATCGGAAGTGGACCCCACTGATAATTGTACCACAAAATAACCACTTAATATGCCATTTTAAGCTAATTTTTCCAACACAAACCACTGATCCCCTTGCATAGGTAATCCGATGGCGTGAAGTAGATTTCCTGGTATCAATATTTCCTTCCTTATCTGAATCAGTGTACCCGGTAAGAATAAGTTTCCGTATACGAAAACACAAACTCAGACTTGAAGTATCCTAAAGATATCTCAAAACCCACTTCACAGCATCCTAATGTTCTCTCTCTAGATTTGAGAAAAATTTGCTAACAACACCCACTACATGAGCAATATTTGGTATCGTACATACCATGTCAAATATACCCAATCAACAACCATGGGCTTTGATACCACTTTGTTGGAAAAAATCATACTTCACGTGACAATAAAAACTACAAACCCGACACGGTGCACAAATACGAGATAATACACAATAGCGCAATATAAATGTCTACACAAAGGACACACGATTTACGTGAAAAACTCCAAATTGGGGAAAAATCACAGGACCACCACAACCAAATACTCCACTATAACAAATCTTGGGTACAAAGTTTCAGGCTACCACACAAGCCAAACATCTAACAATCATCAAATACAAAAACTCTAGGCCAAACACTTCTATTATGTTCCATAGGCCCAAAAGACGCCTGGAACAAATAAGCTGACATCTCTAAAATATTTGATGAAGATATCACCCAAAAACTTCAGCAAACTCATGGCAAAACCAACAAGCATGCGACAAGTGATGAAACCCACCAAACACGATGCAGTCGAACTACCGAAGGAGACAAAGAGACAAGGCAAAGAAATCTTTGTTTTATTTCACTGCCTTGCCTCACATCTGCCTTTTCCTCTTTGTCGAATCAACATATATATTTCGAAATATATAAATTTTATACACTAATACTAAACTTAATATTATAAAAAATTAAATTAAAAATTACTTTAGTCAAGTCTCATTAATCGAATCAGACAAACAAAATGAGACGGAGGGAGTAATAAAGTGGAGTCGGTGGGAAAAAAAAGGGTAAGAGCTCCCAAATTGTCAAGAATATGAGATTGCATCAATGATGGAGTGGTTGCTGGTTGGAGAAAAATAAAAAAGAGAGAAGATGAAAGTGAAAGAAGAAGACAACAAAAAATTATGGCAAATTTGTAATTATTTAAAATTTGTGGGCAATTAAAAATTTAAAAAAAAAATCAAAATTTAGATTTTAAAAAAATTGAGCCATAGAATTTCAAATAACGACTAGATATAGCTGTCATTTTTCAGGGCAAATGACAACTCTCAAATATAAGCACAGGGAAAATTTGGACCTTAACGCACTTGAGTAAATTATTTCTATTATTATTAGTATTATTATTATTATTTTGTGAAAGCAACGCACCCGAGTAGATAAATCTCATTTCTCTAAACCAACGCACAAAAAAATTGCTTATGGGGAATCCCCCTTTTTTTTCTCTCTCTTTCTCCTCTTCGTTGAACAGGTATGCTTCTCTTACTTTCCGCTTTCTTTTTTTGGGTAATTGCAATTGAAGATCTTGACTTTATGATTTAATTGTATTTTTCTTTGGGATTTGTGCTTTGGGTGTTCCGGTATAGTGTTTGTTTGAGTAAAAATCGAGTTTTTCTTTATGTGTGTCGTAGGTTTGTGTTTTTTATTCGGATATGGAGTGAATTGGGTTCGGTGTTGTGAGATATGGGCAAATGGGTGTTTGGGTTTCACTAGAGTTTATCTTATTACTGGTATTGCAATTAGGGCTCTTATTCACTTGCTATCACCTCATCTTATCCAAATCATTGCTGAAATTTTGTCTGGTGGAAAATGATTTGGAATTCACTTCACTATAGTCAATAGGTGAATCTTCTTTTTTTTTTCAAATAAATGATTTGCCTCCCCAGGCACTAGTTCTCCCACTTAATACGCGCTGATCTACTATGATTTACCTCTTCACTATCATATTGAACCGACTGACCGGGGTGTGGGGCCGGGCCTGGATCGAAGGAATTTTGCCTTTGTGGGCAAATAAACAAGCAGCCAACATTTAGTTCTCTTTAGTGTGTCGATTTAATGAAGTGTTATGCTAGTGTAGATTAGGGCTGAAGGGTGGCATTTTACATTATGCATCTACCATACATTGGAATGCATAGGATGAGACATGACTGGGTTTTCAATTAGTGAGATCTAAATGCTAATTTATTAATATACTTTTCTTGAGTTCTTGTGTGTTGTGTGTTTTTAAGGCCTACAATGTTAGATTGTTGATGTTTATAGTTGCTTCATTTGTCAATATATATAATTAATTAATTAATTAAAATTTTATTTTTTATTAATTGGTCAAATTATTTGTGAATAACATAAAATACAATTTTTTCTAATTTTTAATTTTTAATTTTTATGTTTAATAGTACTTTTAATGTAATTTTTAAATATATAAATTTATATACTAAATACTAAATTTTTTGAAAGCAAATACTAAACTTAATATTATAAAAAAATAAATTAAAAATAATTTTAGTCAAGTCTCGTTAATCGAATCAAATAAACAAAATGAGAGTGGAGTTGATGGAAAAAATGGGATAAGAAGAAGAAAGATCTCAAATTTGTCAAGAAGATGAGATTGCATCAATGATGGAGTGGTTATTGATTGAAGAAAAAAAAATTAGAGAGAAGAGGAAAGGGAAAGAGGAAGAAAACAAAAAGTTATGGTAAGATTGTAATTTCTTTAAAATTTGAGCGCAATTAAAAAAAACAAAACAAAACAAAATTTAGATACAGAATTTGAGCCTTAACATTTGAGATAATGGCTAGATGTAGGTGTCATTTTTAAGATAAATTGTAACTCCCAAATATAAGTATAGAGGAGATTTTGATTAGAACGTGCCCAAGTAAATTTGTTTGAAAGCAACGTACCCAAATAGATAAATCTCTTTTATTTTTGGTTATTTGCTGTTGAAGATCTTGACTTTATGGTTTAATTGTATTCTTTTTTGTGCTTTGTGCTTTGTGCTCTGGGTGTTCCGGTCTGCTATTTGTTTGAGTAAAAATCGAGATTTTTTTTTTTTTTTTAATATATGCTGAATGTTTGTGTTTTTTTATTCGGATATGAAGTGAATTGGATTTGGTGTTGTGAGATATGAGTAAAATGGGTGTTTGGGTTTCAGTAGAATTTATCTGATTACTGAAATATATTATTAACTTTGTATGGACATGAGGAACAAGAAATTGTGAGTGTTAAAATTTAAATATAAAAAAAAAAAAAACATTGTTTTGATTCAGAGTACAAAA